CCTCAGGTACCTTCGAGGTACTCAAGATCTTGGGTTGTGGTTCCCGAAGAACCAATATCCATCCATGGTGGGATATGTGGATGTTGGCTATATGTCTGATCCTCATAATGCCAGATCCCAGACTGGGTTTGTATTTCTTTGTGGTAATACTGCCATTTCCTGGCGGTCTATAAAGTAGACCCTAGTTGCAACGTCAACCAACCACTCAGAAATAATTGCTCTATATGAGGCCACACGAGAATGTGTGTGGCTTAGGCGGATGATCGGTCACATCCAGAAGTCATGTGGTCTAAACATTGATAACACCCCCACCATTATCTATGAGGATAATGCTGCTTGTGTTGCACAAATACATATGGGCTATGTGAAAAGCAATTTCACAAAGCATATTACTCCCAAATTCTTTTATCCCCATGAGCTCCAGAAGAGCGGGGAAATAAATGTCCTGCAAACTAAGTCATGCGAAAATCTCGCAGATTTATTTACAAAGTCTCTGCCAGCATCAAGCTTTTACAGATGTGTTCGTGGCATCGGCATGAGACGACTTAGTGAATTGCAAGGATCAGGGGGAGCAAACAATTAGCCCATGATTGTGATCCTGAAGAATCACAAACAAGTCCTGAAGACTTGATCAACTGTTGTACTCTTTTTCCCTTGGTGAATTTTTTTCCCATTGGGTTTTTCTCACGCAAGATTTTTAACGAGGCAACAGGTGCAACACAATATTCAAAGTGCCATGTACTCTTTTCTCCTACCATTTTTTCCCATTGGGTTTTTGGGAGGAGTTTTTAATGAGGCATGTGCATAATTCAAATTCGTCCAAGGGGGAGTGTTATGAAACCTATCTTATTGTGGACGAATTAAATTATGAGTGGGAAGCTTACCACAGAAGAAAGCTTACGCTAGAAGCTAGCTTACAGAGGAAGCCAGCTTACAGAGGAAGCCAGCTTACGGCACAAGCCAGAAGGTCCAAGGCTTACGATGTAAGCCTCCACCCTCCTCCGCCTATAAATAGGGCCCAGAAGGTCCAAGGCGAGGACAACCGATCTTCGGTCTCCTGCTTCTCCTCTTGTAGCTCGTACTCAAATCCAGAAGAAATAAAGCTTCCACTCGCTCATACTTTATGTGTTCTACAACTCTGTGTTTGGTTTGCTTGTGTGCTGATCAGTAGAATCGACTGGTTTCTCAACTTATAGAATCCAGTTTTTTTAGATTTTTATAAGCCGGTTATCAACCAGATACTCTCTAAACAGGACCAATATCCTATTTGAAATGGCGATTCTTTTGTTAAGGGGCGCAAAGCGATGGATAGCACCTAGTCTCTCCTACCAATTGGTTGCCACAGACTTGACAATTAGGGAACAACTTAAAGCTGAAAGAGTTGTACCCCCTAAACCATGGCTAATGATGATTCAGTTAAAGTGAATTATGCCCCAGCTTTGAGCCAAGTGCTGCTCCTACTAGAGGATTCAGACTACAAATCTTGTTAAGTTACTGCTTAATTAGTACAAACAGCTAGAACCTACAGGAAATTAAAAGAAATCGATAAAGAGCCAGGACGACTCTAGTCATTGCTGGATTCTTTTGTTAGGTGCTGCTTTCTGCTGACCTGGAACAAAAGGATTGATGTCCTCTCTTCCAATTTGTTTTTTTTTTTCTTGTCCTTCCTATAATTCGTTTCTTCGGAAGAAAGCAATATGGACAATTGCAACACGTCTCCAATCCCAACAGCACTACAAACTGTATCTGGCTATGCAATACGAACGGTCTAGTTTAGGTCGATAGTGTGAATGGATTATGGGGTGTGCTCTGGGGTGTGGCAAAATTGGCGTGTTCCATCTTTTGGATATTGGTTGTTTCGGATAGACCTGTTAGTTTTTCCTTCTTTTTTTTTCGAACTTTGGGTGTCTGAATATTTTTATTTAGGTAGATTTTTTTTGGAAAACATGTCGAAAACATTTGACGTGTAGAACATGATTTTATCGAACTTTTAAAATTTTATAACCATTAATAATTTTATATATGATTAGTTTTCTTAAGAAAAAAATGAGTTGCTCCCTGAAATAATTACTGCTATAAAGTAGTAGATTTTCGTAAGTATCCCTAAACCATACAGACGGTTCGATCAGAAGGGAAATCGCCTGGGCGTCGGTCAAGAACCACCTGCAAACATGATCTACCACATGTTAAAACGATCGAACTTTTATTGGATAATGCTCTACTCTGGGTGACCGATGCGGGGGAGCCGGATCGGGCGCTCCCCGGCGCGCCCCTGCCCCACATGCGTATCTACTGGACCCACCTACTTCTCCTTCCTTTTTTCACAAAAGATGTTTCATCTAGTATATTTACAATGTTTCACTATTTATACATCTAATGTTGCAGTGAATTTAAATATTCTTTTGCAACAAAAAAACCCATATATTTTAGAAACTCTCTATTAAGGGAATTTGGTTTATTTTTTTGTTCCATCAGAAATGTTTTACCTAAGGTACTCACAATGTTTCACTATGTATAGATCTAATGTTGCAGTGAACGAAACATTCCATTGCAACAAAAAAAACCCATATATTTTGGAAACCCCCTATTAAGGGAATTTGGTTTATTTTTTGTTCCACCGAAAAATGTTTCACCTAGTGTACTCACAATGTTTCACTATGTATAGATCTAATGTTGCAGTGAACTGAAACATTCTTTCGCTATTTGCTGAAACATTGTTTTTATATAAGGTAAAACAACACCTGATTTAAACGAGTGAAACATTTTCGATCTACTTAGTTAAATAATTCCGATATACATGGTGGAATATCGTGCAACATTTAAAAATAATTTAATAATAAGCTAATTTTTTTTCGTCAGAATATATCCATGTGTGGTCTTGTTTTGAAGATTTAATTACAATAAATTTAATGGTATAATCGGATCATGATTTGAATAAGTAATTTAGAAGAAAAATCAGTTTAAAGTAGTGTTACCCGTAAATCGGACGCCGATTTTACTACAAACGGATAGGTCGCCCGAGCTCGTCCACTTTTATTTACACAAGCGGCCGATTTCATTATCCGCCTATATTTATGTTAATCACTATTATTACCCCAGTGAACGGTGGAGGCACCGAGGCCCGAGAGGATCAAGGTTATTTTTTTTATTTTCTGTGGTTCTGGTTTTTGTGTGATGATTTTTTTTCCGATACGTACTAATATAAGCTGTTGCACGTAGGGGCTGATTTAGTTTTCATGACTTTGAGCATTTCGATGATTTCTTCTTAGAAAATAGATTTTTCATTAATTCAGTCTCTATATTTATAAAAGATATACACAGCCAAAAAAAAAAACATGCACGAGTTCTTATACTCCAAACCTCACACAGAGCAATACACGCAAAACACAAAAGAAGAAAAGCTAGAAGACTTAGGGGGGAGTCCCTATCACATCGAATGTTTAGATGCTAATTTAGAGTATTAAATATAGATTAATTACAAAAATCATTCCAAAATCCTGGACTAATTCGCGAGACGAATCTATTGAGCCTAATTAATCCATGATTAGCCTATGTGATGTTACAGTAAACATTTGCTAATTATGTATTAATTAGGCTTAAAAAAATCATCTCGCAAATTAGCTCTCATTTATACAATTAGTTTTATTATTTGTCTATGTTTATTACTTCAAATTAGTGTCCAAACATCTAATGTGATAAAAACTAAAGTTTAGTCTCTGGATCCAAACACCCCCCTAACCCTCAACCTTCATTGATGAGTTATTCTATTCGTCCCAGCATGAGAGGGGGGAATAGGAGAAACGGAACTAGTCAGTGCTAATTGTCGTCGCACCATCTCCGCCTCTATAGAACTCAACCACCAATTGCTGCCAACTGCTAAGTCTGTTTTCTGTCGTCGCCATTGAAAATCCCCTTATGCGGTTGCTGCATTTCGAACGGCCATAGAGCACCGGGAAGCCGCTTGCCACCCTACCACCGTCTTCCGCAGACTATTGAACTCACCATAGTTCCTAAAGCATCGTGGAACCATCCAACATGATATACACCTTGTCTTTTCTGCCATGAGCTTGCTGAAAGATGCATTGTTGTCATTCGCACCTACCTGTAACCAGACCTTGACGCCGACACTCACGTGACAGTTGCCACCTCTAGGACGCCTCCGTCAAGAGCCTCCGTTGCCATCGTCCTTATCTGCATCAGTAAAGTCAATGGCCATCGCACACCATCAACCCAGCCTCGTCACGGAGCCATCGACGACCATCGTCCACTGCCCTCGCCTGACCATGGTCAGAACGTGGCACCGAAGCTCACCAAGTTACCGCTGCCCCTAGGACACCGCCGCTAAGAACATCCACCGCCATCGTCTCAATCTACCGTGGCCGAACCAACCGTCAACCACAGGCGCTATGCTGCTGACCCGCCATCACAGGTGCAGGGCTAGCCTCCACCGTTATCCGTCATCGCCAGTGTCTGAGTAAGAGAAGAAGGACTAGTCTCGTTACTGTCCAACACTACCATCAGCATCCTCAGCACCGCCAACCGCCAATGGGCACCATCGCCCCGCCATTGGCGCCTCCATTGCCACGCTGCCACCATCGAAAAAATAAAGGTATGCAGTTCCATTAGAAAAAAAAAATCAAAATCACCTACTCCCCTGGTTCTACAATTTCTTACAGTTTTGGATAATAACATGGTCTCGATGCTATATTTTTTCTATTATAATACATACAATTTGTATATTTATTACAATATTTTTAGACAAATCTATATACGTCATTCAAGTGTCTTTAAGATAAATATTTTTAAAATTATTGATAGTTAAAGTTATAAAAGTTTAACATTAACTTTATCTAAAACATGCAGAATTATAAAACTGGTGGGAGGGAGGGAGTATTCCGTTTGAGTGCAACAACGCTAGACGTTCGTTCCTTGAGTTCAATCTCCGATTGGCGCGCGCGGGAAAATCACGCGAAGCCGTTAAATAACGGCCTCACAGCGCCGCTCCCCTCCCTATCCTGCGTCCCAGTGCCCACCACTCATCACCTCCCCCCTCTCATCCTCTCCTCCTCCTCCAATGGCCTTCTCCTCCACCGCCGCCGCCGCCTCCACCGCCTTCGTCTCTGGGCACCGCCGACGCGGCGGCGCGTGCCACCTGCTGTCCTCCTCTTTCCTCATCGCGTTCCCGCGCGCCGTCGCGGCGAGGAGGTGCGGCGAGGCGGCCGCGGCGCCGAGGAGGGTGGGCGCGGTGACCGTGCGCGCGCAGGCGGCGGCGGGGGCGGGGAAGAAGAGCGTGCTGATCGTGAACACGAATGGCGGCGGGCACGCCGTGATCGGGTTCTACCTCGCCAAGGACCTGCTCGCCGCGGGCCACGCCGTCACCGTGCTCACCGTCGGCGACGAGGGCTCCGACAAGATGAAGAAGCCGCCCTTCTCCCGCTTCTCGGTAGGTAACATTATGGGGGTTCGAGGGCTCACGGCGGCGATGGTGAATGAATGGATGCAATTAATAATGCAGGAGCTGACGAGTGCCGGGGCGACGACGGTGTGGGGCGACCCGGCGGACGTCGGCGCGGCGGTCGGCGGCGGCGCCTCGTTCGACGTCGTCCTCGACAACAACGGCAAGGACCTCGACGCCGTCAAGTACGTCGCCTCCCTCGATTATTCTCCCCCCTCGCTCCGAGCAAGCAGGCGTCCTGACCAAGGTGTTCGACGCGTTCCCGCAGGCCGGTGGTGGACTGGGCGAAGGCGGCCGGCGTGGCGCAATTCCTCTTCGTCAGCAGCGCCGGCATCTACACGCCCAGCGACGAGCCGCCGCACGTCGAGGGGGTAAAGAAACATAACAACCAGATTCGCCGGAGGATTGGCTCGATGAGTTGAGTTCACTGACTGACTTTCTCCGGCCATGTCGGCTCGCCGGCGACGTGCAAATGCAGGACGCGGTGAAGGAGAGCGCGGGGCATGTGGGCGTGGAGAAGTACATCGCGGAGCAGTTCGGCAGCTGGGCGTCGTTCCGGCCGCAGTACATGATCGGCTCCGGCAACAACAAGGACTGCGAGGAGTGGTTCTTCGACAGTAAAATCACCCAAATCCCCCCAACCAAATTCTCCCAAATTTCAAACCGCCCCAAACAACATTCTTCAATTTGAAGACAAAATTGTCAATTTTTTTACTGTAGTCTTTTTTAAAACTATCGAATTAAGACAAAACTGTCGATTCTTTTTTCTTTAACTTTTGAACTATTTCGAAATATGAATAAAAAATTGGCAATTTTTTATGTAAATTATGAATTGTTTGAATTTGAAAACAAAACTTTCAAATTTTTAACTGTAAGTTCTGACAAATCCAAATTATGAGGACAAAACCATCAATTTTTTTTTTGCTGTAAACTTTGAATAAATCCGATTTGTCAAATTGTCGGTGTAAATTTCCAAGAAATATTCGAATTGAAGTCAAGTTATTTTTTTGGTTTCAAATTGTTTTTGCAGGGATTGTGAGGGGGAGGCCGGTGCCGATCCCGGGGTCGGGGATGCAGGTGACGAACATATCGCACGTGCGCGACCTGGCGAGCATGGTGGCGCTCGCCGTGGAGAGCCCCGGCGCGGCGGCGGGGAGGATCTTCAACTGCGTCTCCGACCGCGCCGTCACCTTCAACGGCCTCGTCAAGATGTGCGCCGCCGCCGCCGGCGCCCAGCCGGAGATCCTCCACTACGACCCCGCCGCCGTCGGCGTCGACGCCAAGAAGGCCTTCCCCTTCCGCAACATGGTTAGTACTACTAACCGTTTTTTATTCATGCAGCGGCACATTGCTATTTTGCTCGAATAAAGAAAATGTGATTTTTTTTTATCTCGGGGGAATATCGGATGAAAACTATCGGATAAGCAAGGACTCATCTGTCTTATAAAAAACCCAATCCTGAGGATGTATTTGGACAATGTGTATGTTCAGATATATCTTTAGGATTGAATTTTTTTTAGACGCAGGAAGTACGTGTGAAAAATAGACTTAGAAAATTTTTTGAATCTATTCATTTCGCAGGAAAAGAAACAAATTTTAGACGAGTAGAGTTCCTTTTTCTTACTTCAAATAAAGTCGAGGTTGGAAAACGTGGTTCATTCTTGTACTGTCTCTAGTAATTTCTTTTTATATAAATTTAGAAAAAAGAACTTTTAGGCCCGATTCTTAACGGGTTTTCACCCGATATTTTGGATGTGAATTTTATCTTGATATCGATGTTTTTTTTCCCAAAAAGGATGTGATTTTGATATGTTAATGGTTGTGTGAAAATTGTTAGCACTTCTACGCGGAGCCGAGGGCGGCGAAGGAGGTGCTTGGATGGAGGAGCTCGACGAACCTGCCGGAGGACCTCAAGGAGAGGTTCGCGGAGTACGCCAGCAGCGGCAGAGGGCAGAAGGAGATGAGCTTCGACCTCGACGACAAGATCATCGCCGCCGCCTAACAACACCCATCTCATCTCACCTCGTCATGGTCAAATACAAATACAAAGTGCTCGGGGATCTCTTCTTCTCGTGATTTATTTTCTTCTCCCTCTGTTTCTTTGGTTCCTCTTCTCATACCGGAAGCATAGAGAAATGCAAAACTGAACAATTATATATGTAAATGCTAGGAAAATGCTGTTACAAATAAGTGAATAAGATGAGTTTTCGCTTTTCGTTTTTCATTTTTCCATCACATATCCAATATGAGAATGGAACTTTGCAGAGTCAATCAGATTCAGCACATTTTCTTGGTCTTACCTCTTTTTTGTCTGAATATATAGCTGAGTAATTTTGTCTAACTATTCGAGGGTATAAAAAATGAATTAACTATTATAAAGTTGAAAAAATGGATTTGAACAGTTTCATAAGAAATTCATATATATTAAGTTTTCTTTTCCGAAAATCGCATCGTTTATAAGCGCTGGAAATAAATGGTTGCATTCCTTAAGAACAGATACTCCTCAACAAGATCTGTGTTGTGAATTGTTCACCTTGACTCGTTCTTAACAACTGAATTCAACTTTGATTCTGACAGACCAGAACAGACAGCAATGCTGACAAAGAACATCAGGATTTCTTTACCCCCTTTCTGCAATATTCTTTTGGAGACCAGTGCTCACGAACAAGCCAACTCAGAAGGAGCATTGCAGCACATTGATCCACAAAGCCTTCTTTGATTTCAGGTATTTTTGCGCACACACAAGGGGCAACACACCAGCTGATACTGCATGGTGTAAAAAGAAATAAAGAACCAAGAGGACTGATAATGGTAGCAGCGAGAATCAATTAAAACTTACAATTCCAGCGATTCTCGACATTTCCAGAACTAAGATTGGTCCCATCTCGACATTTCCAGAACTAAGATTGGTCCCATCCTAGGTAGTAATATAGGGCGATCGGAACTACTGAAGCATCAGGGAGCACACATACGCCGAAATGGTCATGTTTCTGAAACCACTAGCATGGTAAAAGAGAGCATGACCCCTGGCCCTGATGCTTGAGGTGCGGTCATCTTGAACTTGGGTCGACATGGTCGTCCCCGTTGCTCCAGTTCTCATGCCAGGTGGTGAAACCCGTTGTAAGGGCCTCTCGCACCCATGGGTAACGGCTCCGCTCCACCGCCTCACTGAGAGTGAGCCAGGTCCTCTTGCGGGTGCTCTGCTCGGGCCAGGAGGCAAGCTCTTCCTTAACTCGAAGCGCGAACACCGCAGCTCTGCACATCCCCTCGGGGCAGAACTTGTCTTGATGCGTCTTGCTCTTGAAGTCGTAGAAGCCCAATAATTGCTTATGCACAGAAAGAATCGCAAATAAGTAGAGTTTGATGGCAGAACACATGGAAGGGAATAAGTGATGTTCAATAATAAGCCACACGCAAGCCACAAGGACTAAGGAATCACAGAATCTATTTAAACTTGGCTACACATTAAATGTAGACTATGCAAGTACAACCTAGCGACACAATATTCCTTTGACTTAGCTTGCTTTCCTAAATAAACTTCCTATAAAATAATCCATTTATAATGCAAGATTCAGGTCAAGGTTTATTGGCTGCACTATGTCGTGTGCTCTTATGCTCTGTCTAGTACCAATAGTTTCATTAAACTTTCAAACAAACAACTTGACCAGATGTGCAAATGAGCAAAATCAGTGTCAACACAGTAGCAGAGTAGCCAGCATTAAGCAGTTCAGGTCTGGATTACAATCTAAAGTGCGAGTTAGCAACACAAGAATCCTCCCTTAACTTACAAGTGCCCTTCAAAGTTTGTGTTTACTGAAAGTCCAACAAGTGCTATTTACACAATGAATCTTATAAAACAGTATACAATGATGAGGTCCAACCAGCTTGTTTGTTAGTCAAGTGGCACCTAACACTTGTCAAATGACCCTAGTTCTTTAATGCACAAAAAAAAAGGCCTAGTAAAGAACAAGCAGCGTTGCATATTCATATGCTAAAGTATGAACATATTAACACTTAACAAAATGGATGCTGACTCTGAATGAACAGATAAGGCCGGAAATTCCATAGCCCAGACTCAGACTATGCTTAAGGATCAATTTTCAGGTTAAGTGAAGGACACAGCTAGTTATCAGAAGGTAGTAGGTCTCCATAGGAAAGAAGATTATATCTAATTGTCTATATAAAACACAAAATCGCATGCATACCTCAAAAAAGACCTGAGGTCTTGGACACAAGGTTGAACAACAAACATATGGCTATAGGATATAATAATGGGGCTTTTTTCTAAGAGAAGATCAAAAAGTCAAGGTAAAAGTGCCAAAGGGTCTCACCACTAAATCTCCTCGAACTCCAGCTTCTTCAATAGCTTCACGAGCAGCTGCCTCTTCAACAGTTTCATCATTCTCCCATCCTCCCTAAAGCAGTATGGCACATCAAACAAAAGACCGCATGCCACAGAATCATGTACTATATAATAAACAAACAGATATATTTATCCCAATAACTAACTAGTACACCTCGCAGACAAGGTTATCATAAGATTAACTCTACTAATGAGTCCTGACTGGCTCAAAAGTCGACTCTACGGCACCTGATTTCAGTACCTACTTAATCAAACATTTCGGAGGGATATTGATTATCTTGCTCATGCCCGTTATGTTAGAGCATTGAGGTTACAAATCAAGGAACATATCTTTATGTAATGGTAGATGGATAACGGATATTGGATTATAGCCTAAATAATTTCCCATCAATTACTCTGGAAATCTAAAGCACAAACAGAATAACATCACAGATGTTTTCATATACCATGTTCTGAGAATTGAGTGACTCTTAGGCATAGATGTTTAAAATGTTAATACCTTAGGAAATAGGAGACCAGATCCACTCTGGGAGTTGATCATGAGAACTTCCACAAGTTTCTTGTGTCCATCATCAGAAGTTTCATCATTGTTATCTTTATATCTAAAAGGTATGCACCTACATATATAAGAAACAAGTATCAGATGAATTTAAAGCATGACAACATTCTTCTCTAGGGTCTTTAACCATGTTGTCTTACAGCAAAGATAAGAGCAGCACGCTCACAGATACATACTAATGTAGACAGTACTGTTTAATTGAGTTCATAAAATCCTGTTCTGAAGTGAGTTTAAGTAGAAGCTTGACTATCAAGCACTATTCAGATGAGTAATAACTTTACTAATGTTGGTAAAATGTTTAACTGCTACTCCAAATAAAATTTGACCTCAAATTTTGAAACAAATAAATTAATTCTCATATAGCTTATATCACTAACAGTAATAAGCACTTAATGCAACAACACCAGTATTTGGAACATTGTGACAACAGGACAAAGCAGCATAAACAACAGGTACAACCAGCTATTCTCCTAGTTCGGTTTTTAGTCTCCAGTTAATACAAATATCATTTTTCGTATTTGTTAATACAAATATCTAACTGCACACATGGGAACAAGAGGACCCTGGGGTCATCTCTATGATCCTGAAATCCATCTCCCTGTGCCCATCTCACACATATCTATGTTTTTATCACCACTTTCTTTTCTTGGAAAAATCAAATAAAAATGGAACCTCTCCCTTGAACAATTTAAGCCAAAGGGATACCAAGTCTGCACAGCACCTTCTGACAGTGCTCATAAAAGGCACAAACTAATCCACACCTGCAACAAGAGACATCCATTATCCTAAAAAAAAAAAACTCTAGACCCTCCAAACTGAGCCTAGAATCCTTATCCGCGAAAATTTCCCTATCGACGCCGGCCCACCACCGATGCCGAATCAATATCAATACAAATCTTTACCAAGATTCACCTAATTGATGGCACATCCTGGGACCAAACAGAGATACCCCAACCTCCCTTTTTTTCCCCACACACAGGCACACCCCAATCATGTGGAGCCGGTAAAGAACAAAGCACACTGAGAATCAGTAAAGAACAGAAAACGATAAGCAGGTCGCCATCAGCAGGTGCCTACGGATGAATTAAAGGAGCTAAATTTTAATGGTAGCCCTGCTCACTGTTCATTGATTAAGACCACCCCCTCCCCTCCTCCCATAATCTAGCCACCAAATAGTCCTCCTACTTCCCCTCCACAGCAGCAGCAGCAGCAAGAGGTGAAAATTTGATTCCAATCAAGCAGCATATCAAAACAAACCTAAATTACGGCAAGATAAAAATAAAAGTGATATTTTTTCTTGGTGGTGGGGGATACGAAGATGATGATGATGCAGGAGGAGGAGAGGAATGGGGGAGTAAAAATTGGGGCTTTGAGGATGTCCCACCCGGCCACGAGTCGACGCCCATGCTCGTAGCGCTGCTGGTGCCGCCCCGTTCTCGCCACCAAATCGCACATGGCTTCTTCCTGTCCCCGCCGCCGCCGCCACTACCGGAAACCGCCTCCGCCGCCGCTCGAGAGGGAGAGAGAGGGGTAGGGTTGGTCGCCGCCGGCGACGAGCAATGCGGCGGAAGGAGGAGGAAGAAGGGGAGGGTGAGGGGCTCGAGAGATGTGCGTGCGTGCGTGCGCCTAAGCGCCTTGCTTCGTTCCTTCCTGGGTCTCTCGCTGTTCTTGCCCTTTTTATTTTGGGAATTTTTTGCCCTGTTTTGGTCCCCTTTTTACCCCCTTTGTGTAGCTTTTTTAGGACTTTTTCTCTGGTTTCTATGGTTTTTGGCTTTGGTATGTGGTTTTGGTTTGGTAAACATTTTCAACTTCATCCCTCTTTCCAACTCAAGGTTGTTCTCTGATTTTGTAATACAATGTGCCGTTTAGTTATGAAAGTGCTTTACCGCTTCCGTCTATGTCGGTTGTGTCTTTCGGTTTAACTCGTCGACAATATATTGTTTGGACCGATTTACGGAGAGCAAGAAAACGTACACGGTACTATGTTTTAAAGGTATTGCTTTACTTGAAAAATAAACTAAATAGGTTGAGCGCCGTTGAAAGACGCCGACAAATCAAGTCTCACACGAGGGGGAGGAGGCAATGCTATGTAATGCTTCATCGTGAAAGGAAAAAGAACTTTACAAATAATACCTTGATAAAAATTTTTGTTTTCATTTTCGTCACGTTTTCTGTTTAACTTGGCGACGATGTGCTTTAGCGGAGCAGGCGTGTGTGTTTAGTATCGTGTGTTGCATCATATGAAAAAAAAGTAAATGAATTGGTCGTACATAAGAAAAGAGTGAAATACATGACTGGTCCCTAAAGTTGTGTAGTGGTATCACTTAGGTCCGTGAACTTGAAAATTACACGTTTAGGTCTGTGAATTTGGTTTAATGTACCACCCGGTCCAAACGTCCTTTGACTGCGTTTGATCGCTAACGTGGCATGCCACCTAGGCAACACTTTTGCTCTCAGCCCCCTCCACATCACAACACGTCGCATATATCTTCTTATAGTTATATAGTGACACCAGAATCCCAAAAAAATTCTCACATCGTTCTTCCATCTCATTCTTCTCCTTGCATGTATAGAAAATGCGGTTCTGATTAGCAATTGCCATTGCTCTGCACTCCAAAATAACCTTATCCTTGCGCAACGGGCACATGATTAACAACACTTTCTTCCAGCGACTTCAAGACGAGGACGAGCTTGGAGAATCCATGGGATGCCTAGCGCGCAAGCCGTATTGCACTGCCTTCCGCCGCTAATACGGCCGCCTTGTGCTACCGCTAACCCCACTGCACTGCGCTGCCTCCTGCCACTAATCGCACCGCCGAGGCCACCACAGCTGCTACCTCTCGGCCTCCTTCCCCTAACCTCACCGTCGAAACCCTAGCCGATTTAGGGATATTTTGAGGGATTTGGGTTGAAATGCACACTGGTCATAGCAAGTTATGTGCGAAAGTATATGTGGAGGGGGCTGAGCACAAAAGTGTTGTCTACGTGGCACGTCACGTTGGCAGTCAAACATGGTCAAAGGACGATTGGACCAGGGGTGGTACATTAAACCAAGTTCACAGATCTAAACGTGTAATTTTTAAGTTCATGGACCTAAGTGATACCACCCCTCAAGTTTAAAGACTGGCCATGTATTTCACTCTAAAAAAAATCGGCTCTAACTTGAAGTGAGGTTTTTGACCTCACTGAACTTGCCATATATTTTAGGCAAATTTTGCTACAGGACATTGTAACTGTGTGTATTTAGCTCAGGACACCGCGAAAGTGAACTTTTGGGGGAAGACATCCCATAATCGTGGATATTTGCCGATGGACACCGCGCCGTCTCCTCTCCACTTGACGTGCTGACGTGGTAGACGGGAGGCTGTTTTTTTTTATGCGGTCGGACGTACATAACATCATATGAATACGTTATTCTCTTCTGCTTCATTAGAATCCGTTTGCAAAGGGTCTACAATTACAAGATTGCTCAAGCGATCCCATGTGGGCTCGGGAGTATAGACACTATATTTTAAAAGCACCACATGGATACCTTGATTTCTCAAAATTTACAATTATATTTTTATTCTCTATAAAATTATAAAAAAATAAAACTATATGAGTTCATAATGGAAGTCTATTAATATCATTTTCATATATCAAATACTAATATTTTTACTTCTATTAATGAAAATATTTCAAGTTGGACTTATCTATTGAGGAGGATTGAAATGATGTTAGAATTTCACATTTTACGCAAGTGTCCTCACTTCCATCGATTTGATTAATCGAACACTTATCAGTCAATATGTGCACAATTAACATATGGTAACGACTAGAAGTTTATATTCTCTGCCAAATCTTCATCTTTTGAGTCAATATCTCGATCACAATATCTCACTTATCGATTTCTCAACTAAATCTTCATTTAAATTGATCTTCAACCCAACCCAACACAAGTTAGTGAAAGAAAGGTAACAGAGTGATCACCATCCTCAACTAATAAGTGTATATGTTCGGTTGTGTTTTTCAGTTTAATTCGTCGGTAATATATCATTTGGCTGGATATACAAATTAAAGTGAGAGAATACGTGTACGTGGCTTTCTTTTAAAAGCATTCTTTTGCTTGAAAAGGGAAATTAATTAAATAGGTTGAGTGGTGTTGAAAGACATATACAAATCGAGTTAGACACGAGAGTGAGAGGAGGCAATGCTAGGTGATGCTTTACGATGAAAGAAATAAAATCTTTAGAAAGAATGCTTTAATAAAAAGTTCTTTTTTAAAAAAACTTTCGTTACGTTTTCTAACTCACTAACGATGGGCTAGTTGGGTACTTTAGCAGGTAGGGGATGTGTTCTTGTTTTGTGTTTGAAAAGTTTTGCTTCATATGAAAAAAGAGATTAAATGCATTGATCATGCATACAGGAACAGGAAGCCAAACGTTTTCATTTATTTCATTTAAGGAAAGTAGGGTTGTTAATCTGTATAGGCCCTTCTAACCCTAGCTCGAGGAGTGTCTTTTATGTTCATATCTTGTTTTTAACCAACGAAATACCTTCATAAGAGCACTATAACATTTTAAGAATCAATAAATTTTTAAATGGACCAATATATACAATCTTTGAATGGGATTTGACTTTGGTTTTAAGGTTTGGCAAAAAGAACGAATTGGCTCTCACTTGAAGAGAGGAGGTTTTGGGGACTCCAAAACTAGCCAAGGACAGCTTTGAAAGGAAATAAATTCAAAACACACGAATATGAAAAATATACCCTTAACCTAACTAAATTTATATTGAAATCACATCCACATATGTAAGCACTAGGATTTCATTAAATGTAGTGGGTGAGTAATCATACGCTGACAGCTCTATCGCCATACCTTTTGTGGGGCCAGTCAGTGCTGAGAGGTATCAATATGTAACGAGGAAGATTATTGTCTATCAGTGTGAGCTCGAGGGGTACCGACAGATGTTAGATAACAACATGCTCGATCGTCCAGATGTACGTTCACTGATTAATTTTCAATTTGTAACTTAGTTGACTGCTCGATCGTCCAGATGTACGTTCATTGATTAATTTTCAATTTGTAACTTAGTTCACTGCAAAAATTCGTAACTTAGTTGTCTGCAAATTAATTAATTAAAGTATTTGTATAAAAGAGGATATATACTATTTTTATAATGAAATGATAGAATAGAAATATGTAACAGTCCAACCGTTGTATAAAAAAGGATATATAATATTTTTATAATGAAATTAGAAATATGTAACAGCCCAACCCAACCGACGGGTGGGGCTATTTACACTTCTATCCTTGCTTCAAAGGCCCAAACGTCCCCGTCGTCCCTATCGGTCCAATTCACCTATGTAGCCACACGACATATAGGCTGACGGGTGGGCCCACTTACCCACGCCACCCCACTGCCTATAAAGTTGGATCTGAGAAATGTGTACTAAACATACTGCGAGGGTCGGCTCTGAGCCCACTAAACATACTGCGAGGGTCGGCTCTGAGCCCAACCAATGGACGGATACCACTCCACTTACAGGCTCTGAGCGCAACCAATGGACGGGCCTACGAACCTACTTATACTTTCGTCCTCGCTTCGTGTAAAAGGGTTAACCTAGAAGTGATATGATTGGAAGGAAGATGTCTTATAAGTTGGTTCCAACCTTGTTAAACTAGTAAGGTGGTACTAAACATGAGCACATAACTCAAGGTGGTACTAAACATGAGCACATAACTCAAGGTGGTACTAAACATGAGCACACAACTCTTATAAGCCACACAGGCTAAATTCTAATTGGACTGGGATATTAAAAAACCATACTGGCCTACAATGGTAATAAGCTGTCTGAATGATGATTTCAATTATGTTCCTTGGTAATAATAGTACACTATAATTGACGATGCTACCCAAAATTCAACCATCTCCGCGCTTGTTCATCATTTGGCCGGATGCTTTAACCGTGATTATCCTGTGAAGGTGAATAGTATAGTCCACTATCGGCTGCAATTTTTTCCATGTCATGTATAGCCAACACGATGGGCTGTAATGCATCTGCCATTTTACTTCAGCAAATGATATTTAATTCTTTCATTTATCATTTTCTCTCTCCTTTGCATTTCTGTTCCGATACCCATGGGCCATGGGGCGTCGTCGAGCAGTTCCTCCCGCGCGTAGAAAAACGGACCCCACTTTTTCTTCAAGGGCGCGTGTAGGCGGGCGACAATTTAGTCGCACGCTCGTCCTCTCTCTCATCCGCGCTTAGCACCAGGTCATCTTCCGAACCTACGTGGACTGCTTATAGCCATTTCTAGTTCTGTGCATGCTCTAAAGTTTACCCCATACCCACACGGCATGTATATCCGACTAGGTATAAGGGTACCATATACAGATAGAATAAATTTAGTAAAGGACTCGGTTGTTATGTTAACTTGTGTATCAAGGAAACATCCGATAGTTCTAGTCGGTTACGATTGTAATTTATCTTGTCCGTTAGGAACATGGGTTGTATCTTGTAATTCCGGCTCCTCCTCCTATATAAGGAGGGGTCCGGGTGCCTCTAGGGGCATAATTTTTCTCCCTGATCATACGATCAATAATACACTCGGCGGATCAATCCCCGGACAGGAGTAGGGTACTTCTCATCGAGAAGGCCTGAATCTGTATAAACCTAGTGTCTCCTAACCCATCTACTTTTCCAGCTTGATAGCCACCCCTTTTAGTATTGCCAAAATATTGTTTCGACAGTTGGCGCACCAAGTAGGGGTAGCGTCAAGTTCTTCGCCGATTAGTGCAATGGGATTTGTTTCGGGCATCGACGACTT